TGGGTCTGGACTTTGACAACCTTCTCCGAGGTCTGGTCAGGGCGGGTTTGATGGGGATGGTCTAGGCTCTGCACGTGGTGTCTCCTACTTCTTCCGTGGTGTTCCGGGAACTCCCTTGCTGATTCTCCAGTACGCAAGCCCTCGTGGCTATGGCATGGCAGACATCAGGCTTCTTGGGCGTCTCTGATACATCTTCTTTATCTCATATGTGCTTCTGTGCTGCGGTAAACCTATCGCCAAGCTCCGCTGGGTAAGTCCGAGCTCCGCCGACTATCTCCAGTTCCAAAATAGGGCAGTGCTTCCTGATCGCCGGGATCTCCATGTCCTTCTCTTCTCTGATCCCATGAGTGGGGGTCATGCGCTGATGCCGGGCACGGCCTGGGTTGCCATGCGTAATCCTGATGGCCGACTGATGCCCGTGCGTGCTGAATGACTTGCGCGTTGTGCGCTCCTCTCCTCCCTTCGTCCACTTTCTCCTTCTCCTGGGCCATTCCTCCACTGTACGGCCTCGTCCTTAGCCTAGCCCTGGGACGAGCGACTCCGTGATCCGACCGACCTCGTACGTCCTCTGCTAAGGGTGGGTAACGCGTTCTTGATGTTGCTGGGGACAGATGGCCATACATGGTGCCAACCCGTTCAAGAACGGTCGGTTGGGGTGGTGATAACTTATTCCTTTCCTTGGTGCGTCGCGTGTGTTCTTCGTCCATCTTCAACTCCTAACTTCTTCGGCAGCACATCTTCATCCGGCGATGTCCAGAGCTCAGGGACGGAGGCAATGAGCCATGGGCCCTGTTCATCGTCCCCTTCCAAGTATGTCCTTCTTCGCGTACTCTGTTGCTCCTTCCGCTGACTCCCTGTCTAGCTTTCCATAGACCGAGCCCCTACCGTAGACGGTTGATTGCGGCTCTTTACGACATGTAATGACCCTTATGACCCTTATACTCGCTTTTAATGACATTCTACAGTGGTAAACATCTTGCGTGCGCAAGTGCGGGTGCGTGATGCTCGGGTATGCTTGTCTGTGTTGCCTGTCTCTTCTCCCTGTAACCCTCCCTCGCAATGAATGCACACTGGGTGTCCTCTCGAATGCGGGTGTGTCATCAGTGGCTTCCATTGCGATAGATGGTTGCACTGCGATGGGGCACGGTGAACACTGCAGGTCTATAGAGCTGGGGAGTTTGGTGGTACGGGCGGAGTACTCCGTGCTTCAGCGAGTGAGGCGACTTCTCCGTTGGATGTGGTATCTTCCCAGTCATCATCCATGCTATGGTCCGAGTCCGCGGTGTCCGTGTCGGCTGTCATGCTGAGGTCGTCAAGGGTCTGTGAGGTGAGAGTCTGCGAGACTGAGACTTCTGCCTCTGGTGCAGTGACCCATTTGACTCGCTGTCGGTGTGCACTAAGTTCGTCTGCCTCGAGCTCATCCATGAACTCCTCTATGTCCATCTGGGTTAGGTGCGGGAGGAAGCGTGATTCCGATGACACAGGCGAGTTGTGCTCGCTGAGTACAAGGGAATCACTGGATTTCTGTGCGACTGCGTGGTCCGCTGCTTCCGCTTCCTTGACACGTTCCGTTGTGTGCGGGAAGTAAATCATGTGCAGGGCAGCATGGCCTTCTCGGTACACTCCGTCAACCTTGATAAGCATGTTCCGTAGCAGGAATAGCTCCTCGTTCTTTACGCCGTATGTCTTCCAGGACTCGTTGAGGATCATTCGGTCCGCTGAGAGAACCTCCGGGATGTCCACAAATGGTTTGGCCTCTTCTTGGTCATGCTTATGGTCCACAAGGTATTTGATGAGCAGGTCACGATACATCCGGTTCTCAATGGTTGCATCACTTGGACCATCTTCATGGGGTGACTTGAGGTCTACGTCCCACGGGTCCCGGTACGATGGAACATATGGGTCTGCCTCAATGTTGTCCTCTTCTCCGGCTTCTTCGGCTATGGTCGGAAGTGCACGTGTGTCTGTTCCATCCGTCTGTGTGCCTACATCCTTCTTGGTTGGGTCCATCATTTCGCGGAGGCGGTGCGTCTCAGAGAAGTCCATCACAGGTATGTCCGGATCTTCTCTTCTGATAGAAGCACACATCTGTGCTGCACGATGCCATGCCATCTGCTGAGCTTGCAGCGACGAGAGGAGAAGTTCGTATGTCTTCCGGCCATCCTGGGATCGAACTCCAATCATGACTCCATCAGCTGAATGGCGGAACCACATCTGGTTACGGTGCTGCCACGGCTGGCCAAGAATGCCTGGCGTGGTGAGGTTGTCGACGATATGGAGATCCGTGACAGATGTGATGCTCCCGAACTTGAGTGGTGTCCTCCAAACTCCTCGGTCTTTGAGTGGCTGTCCATTTGCATTAATGAGCCGAAGGTTGTGGCGAGGCCGATGAAGTGATCCTCCCAGAGCCTTGTATATGTCCGTGTGGATGCAGTCTACCTGTGATCCTGTGTCCAATAGGAACGGTATCTCCAAGTGACCAATGGTAATCCGTAGGATGATGAGCGGTGGAGGCTGTGGCAGATAATGCATGTGATGACGGCCCATCGGGACTACACTTCCAATGGTGATCGAGTTTACAGGTACCCTTGGCTGTACTGGCTGGGATGGCAGTATGCTGATAAGCACATGTCCACGGTAGCTTCCGAATTGGTTGCTAAGAGAGGCGTTGGGAAGGAGGAATGTGGTGAACTCCTCTTGTGTGGTGTCATGGAACATAAACGAGTGGTGCGCGGCAATTGTGGTCGGTCCGGTCTGTGAGATGTGACTGAACTGTGGCGTCTGAGGTGCTTCTCTCATGCTCGGTGGTTGCGTTATGACCGTGTTCAGCTGTCCAGCTAGTGGAACCATAATGTCTCCTCGCGGCGGAAGGATCCGGGTGTGCCATGACCTCTCCATGTCCTCGTTGTCTGCATCGTAGCCGGCATCATCGGTGTCAGGATTGAGGAATGGACTATCCTCATCATCAGAGTCATTTGACGGGGTTCTGATGGACTCGTCATCATCCGAGCTGCTCTCTGAGTCAGTGACCAAGTCGGGCAGGTCGTCTGAACTGTCTGAGGCGTCAGAGGCACTGCTGTCTGATGCGAGGTCGATGTCCTGGATGGGTCCTACAATGTCATCGGCTGTCCACTCCTTGATGGTAGCATAGACTCCTGGGACTTCTGATGCTGGCATCGACGGCATACTGGGGAGTGGGTCAACAAGCATCTCTGACTTGGGATATCCTGAGGTCGGCGGGAACTCCAGATACGTGCCATCAGGCTTCTCGACAATTGAGATCTTGTGAGCCTGCTGCCAAGGTCGTCCGAGTAGTCCGTCAAACGGAGGGTTCTCTGCAATGAAGGCATTGATTGGCGTGCTGATGTGGCCAAGCTTCAGAGGAATGTTCTCGACTAGCCCCAAAAGGTGACCAGTTCCTCCGTTGGCATCCTTCATTGCTATGGCTGCACCCAAGTTGATTGGCCTGCGGACTATGTTCTTGCAGACTGCCTCGCTGATAATGTTGAGCTGAGACCCCGTGTCGACAATGAACGTGACTGGCATGAAGTTGCACTCCATTTGAAGGCGGATCAGGGAACCCGTGCGTGACGTGATCAGGTTTGTCGTTGGGAGGATTGATGCGACTGGGACTGTGTCGACCTTCTTGAGCTTGAGCATGTCGATCAGGCTGCTGGCGACCTCACGAGAGCATCCTGCAATCTCCCGGACTGGAAGGGTCACAGGTAGATCTAGAAGCTTCTCTGCAATCTTGACAGGGTCAACCGTCTTGCTGACATCCGATGCACGTGGGGCCCAACGAGGTTTGTCCATGGTGGCTGGCTCCGCAGGGGCTGGCTTCTTCCGCTGAGTCAGAGTGCGGTCGTCGATCATGTCCACGTCATTATCAGGGTTGAATGCCATAGGCTGAGTCTCAACTGGCACCAGACGTTGCATGGGAAGGCGATGCACAGCAGTGGCCTTCTGCGAAGTCTCCGTCTTCTTCGGCTTATCCTTCGGGTTCTCCTTTCCTTTCGAGGGGACGCCTACGCCGTCAAAGGTCTCTTTGCGGTAAGGCCTGGTGATGCGTTGGGCTCTCTCCACTGGATAGACCATGACGTCGGCCTGCTCTGGATCCTCATCTTCATCATCCACATCCTGTGCTGGTCCATCATAGGCTATGAAATTCACCTTGGGAAGGGTGCGTTCAATTGCCTGGACAATATTCTCGCCCTCCTGCCGTCTGATGACTCGACCATCCTTGTCTGTGATACGCCCTCGATAGTCTTTCAGAACCTGGCCCTTTGAGATGTATTTCTGGATCTCAGGGCAGTTGTTCATGACATGGCCTGGCTGACCACATCCGAAGCATCCTTGGGTTCCTGACTGAAGTGGTGGTAATGAGGGTCGCATTGGCGGCTGGCTCATGTTGGATCTGCCCATGTGTGGTGGCAAATCACGAGTGACATTCTGGCTGAACTGCGGTGGGGGCCTGAGGATAGGCTGGTAGAAACAGTTCTGCACGTTGGGGTCAATGCGGCAGGCTTTGAGGTATGCAGCACCATACAGCGGGTCGTCCAATCGGAGGGTGTGAAGCTGTTGGATCAGGCCATCGAGTTCCACATCCTCAGGCTTGCGGGATGGGGTAGGCACGTGGGGTGGGCTTTGGCTTCTCCTCCTTGACTTTCTCCTGCTGCTGGATGTACTTGCGGACTTGTTTCTTCTTCGTCTCCTTCAACTCCTGCTCCGGGCCCTCCGTGTCGCTGTCATCTTCTTCGTCAAAGCGCGCAACCTTGCGGTTTGGCACTGGTGAGTCTCTCTCTGCTCTGCCCCGTCCAATCCCGGTGATCTCCTCAAAGTAGTCATCATCTTCATCATCTGATTGGTCAAGGTAGGTGTTGTCAGAGCCCAGTCGCTCCGTGTCAAACCGGTCAACACTAAGAAGGGCCTTGGCTGCCTTCTCAA